TATATATATATATATATATTAAAAATAGTTCTGCAATTTATACCAGAAAAACAAATCAAATTCCTTTTGAAGATAAACTATATCACTTATTCACCATATATTTCACTATATAGAATTCTCAATAAGAAAAAATTCTTTCCATCGCACATTTTTTAAAATGTTACATTTTACTCTCACGAATGACACTATAAATCGAAAATCGTATATGATTCTTTGATCTTTATTTCGAATTTGGCGCGCGGTGATCTGTCACTTTCACTCAGAGCACGTGTTTCCTGTTTCACGACCATGATAGCGTTTCTGTTCGGCCAGGATCGGCCAACATCGTTTCCCAGACCTCGTGTGCATCAAGAATTGTCTATTTCCTTCAAGAAACTTCAACTTACATCCAACTTTCATAAGAACTAACCTAAAAGTTGTTTTGGAATCGACTGTAATAAAACTTGATCGTAAACACATTTCCGTAATTCAAAGATCGAATAAATACAAGACACGAAGATCATGAGAGAAGATCGAGAAAAAGAGGTCGAAAAGAAAGTCGTACAGAGGGTCAGTGCAGGAGGCGACCCGTTACTGCAGCCTGGTACCACCGGACCTTCACTTATATCGTCTCTCGGCTAATAACGCTAGTAATGTGATATGATTAGCTTAGTTGAGTTCAGTTTAGTTCGTATTCGTTCAATTTAGTGGTTCGCCAGCAAAATCACATCGAGTTAAACCCATTTAGGCCAGTTAAGTTACCGACTTCTCGCTCTTGCGCGCTCGCCGTCATCCTCCCAGCCGGCTGCCTCCTGCATCCGCGGATATCCTGCAAGCATGCGCGCGCGCATTCACCCGCATCCACTCGTCTTCAGTTTCATTAGAGGCTAATTGGGTCAGTTAAATCTCGATACAAATAAAATTAAAGAATCTTAGAGTCTGTTACTTGCTCGATAAATTCAATTTAGTTTAAGGTTAGGTTTGAATTAAGAATATATAAGAATATATATTATGGCAATAAAGATGATTGCTTACATTAATATGCTTACATCATAAAATATCACCAAAAATTATAATAATATAATTTATATGAAAATTGGAATAGAAGTTATAAAATTATATTATTGGATGGTTTTTATTCTTTACGTTCTATATCCACTACCTTTTATATTAATCAAATTATATATAAAATATATAATTTCTGTCTGAAAAATAAAATTTAAATTGGCCATTTATAAACACTTTATCTAATAAACATTTAAAAAATAAGAAATTGCTCATTCAATAAATAAAAATGAAATATTAAATTCAATTTCTAATTATACAATTCTTACAAATTTATCTCTAACCTATAATTTACCCAAATAAAGAATCATACTTTCATCTAAATTTCTCTAAATCTTTTTAAAAGATCTCTCTTACCTGTTCGATTAAATTGATGTTTTCTTTCTGTTATTTTCATCTATTCACTAGTTAATCGTGAGTTCGTCAATGTGATAAACAAACTCATTAGATTCGACCAAAACAAGAAGGCTAGTTGGGAGAACGGTGGCGCGATCGGTTCCAAGCGGAGAAACGGAAAAGATGCACCACAAGACTGGTGGGGGAGGAAGTAAAGAGAGTGTCCGCGAGAGTGCAATTAAATCAGCGCGTGACAGGCGCGCGCTCGTGCGCGCTAATTACTGTCGATGAAATTAGCAGTTAATATACGCGTGTACACACGGAATGGGGGTAGTTTGATTGGGCCAATTCGAGGCAATTCCTGGCGATTGCTGGTTTCATTGAGCCTGCGCTTAAGAGCTCAGTGCCACGCTGCCGGTCAACGGACATGGATCTCTTCGAAAGTATAGGAACTCTTACCTTTCTCATTCTTCCGATCGATTGTCTTCTTATGAATCGATCGATAATTCCGTTCAATTTCTTATCTCGATTAAAGTGGATACCGGAAGAGGGATAATCTTGCGGATAATTCGAACATATGACGGTTAAAATTGCGGGATGATTTGAATTCGTTGGTAGTGCATGGGACGCGATGAAATTATTGTGCATTTGGTACAGGACCTGTGACGCTATGAATGCACGTCGATCATCACTGAGAGCGCTATGTGATCTCTCGAATCGTTTAATCGAGGTTCAAGGTTTCAGTTCAAGGACTTCTGCGAACGAACAGATATGAAATGGATAGCTAATACGGATATATTTGATGTGACTGAGATTAGAATAAAAATAATGTGGAATTTGTGGAAGTTTGAACAGATTGATTACAAATTGATAGTGTGTGATATTCAAGATGAATTGAACGGATTATGAGATTATTATAAAGCGCAAAATTTAATTCAAGTAGAATTAAATTTTCAGGTAAAGTATTAATTACGTTTTAATATGAAATTGAATTTGAATATTTTGAAATTGCTTTTTTTTTTTAATTTGAAGAAATATAAATATAATTATATTATTATATTACAATTATTAATAATATATATTAATCATTGATTATGAGTTATATTTATTCTATAATTATTCGTTTCTTTACTTTAATTAATTATGACAAATTGCCTATAATCTATAATCCATAATCATAGCGATAAAAATTGGAATGTAGATTTTGCATATTTTTAGTAATAAATATAATCTAAATAATTCAATATTGCAGAAATTATACTACAAATAACGTCATGTTCCAGAATACATATAGTATGAACTAATCCAGTTTTCTGCGTAAAACTGTAACACATTTTGTAATAAATTTAAATTCTATTATATTTTACATTATTATTTCACATTGTTTAAATTAAATTAAAAAAATTTTCATAAAAATTATTTTTTTTAAGAGAATTTAATCTTTTACGAAAAATTATACTAGTATAATAAATAAGAATATTACAATCTAAGTATTTAAATATTTCATTACATTAGTTTTTACAAAATCTGAATTTTAAAAAATATCAACTAAAATAAGAAACATAATTAAATAAAAAAATCTATTTATTTCTTTATTTTGAAATTTAAAAGTTAAAATTAAAATTAATAAAAGATCTAATAAATTATTATTCAAATTCTAAAATTATTATTAATTTTCATTTAGTATTGTTGAATTATAAATATGAGCGTGCAAAAATTCATGTGCGTAAAAATTCTAGTCATCGATGAATATATATCAACAACATTTATCATATAAAAATATAAAAGATAAATTAAAATTAAAATCTAAAATTTAAAAAAATTCAAATCTAAGTTAAATAAGTCAAAAATCATATATCATAATACCACAATTAATGATCAAAATTAAATTTCTCCCAAAACCACCTTTCTGTCCTTTAAATAGCGATCAAGAGTCCATTATTTTCTCCGCCATGATCTTCGTTCCAAGAAATATCGGGGTCGCATTAGGTCAAGCGCAAGGGGTCCATAGTCGAAGTGGAAGCCTCCGATGCACAATTTCCCATCACCACATCTCCTGATCGTGCACAACCCAACCCGCTCCAATTCCCACATACCCCTCCATACTCGTTAAAAATGTTATCTAAAGCACACTATGGACTGAGGCGGTGTTCTCCAACCATCGGGGGCGGTCGCAATGATGTGGTTGTGGCATAGCCACGAGACCAACGAGAAACCCGACAGAGACATCAACGAAGAAGATCAATGAACACTTTTCTCTGTCTTTCTCTCTACATACACACGTACATACATACATACACACATACGTATATACATACATACATACATACATACATATATATACCCGATGCAATGAAGAATCACGAAGTGGTTGGTAACATAGCAGAGGTAAAGAAAAGAAAGAAAAAGAAAGGAAGAAGTAAAAGAAGAGTAGGAGAAGAGGGGTGGAGAGCAAATTCTCTCTCTCTCTCTCTCTCTCTCTTTCTCTCTGTATGTGTGTGTGTGTGTGCAAGGAGATTAAAAACAGAGATGAAGAGACGAATCTTGTGCAGAATGAAAAGGGAGAAAAAGAGAAAGAAAGAGGAAGAAAAACAGGAGGCACAGCATACCGCGCCCGCATAAAACGGCTGTCCTCTCATGGAGCACGTATGGCATAGTAGGTGCTACAGGATTGGTTGGCTTCCATGTGTGGGGGCGGCCTGACCGGCAACCCGTTGAAAATATAAGCGTGTGTGAGTGTCGGTTGATTAGCCAGAGTCAGAACGGATCGTCGCTTAGTGCGACAGTGTCTGGTTAGTTAAGCAGCTCTTGTTGTTTCGCGCGATCAACTCACCCGTTTGTCGATAGATAAGAAAATTGGGGAAACCCGTGACGATTAATATAGATTTTCTCATCTTTCTGGATTAATCTTCTTTTTTTTTTTTTTTCTTCTTTTTTGTTTATTAACAACGTTTCAATATACTTTAGAAAGAGAGAGTATCCTCCAAAGTATTCGGTTTCGCTGTTACAATCTGTTCATGTGTCGACGACACAATGCTGGCTCGCTTCGTTAGCTCGAACTAATCAAAATTAATCATAACCCGGGCAACAATTGATCGCAATTGGCTTGGATTCCATTACGGAGGACGCGCGAACCGCCATCCTGCGCGCGCCTTTTTGCATAATTGGCCAGCCGGATTGTTGGAGGTCTTGGCGAAGAAGAAACCGAGGGAATCGGTAGCAATAAAGAGAGCAGGAAGTGAATGGAAATTGTCACCGTTGATCTAAGTAATTTATTGCAATCGGAGTAACGACGCGAGAATAAGAAATGAATTTAATTCGGGGGTTAAAAGAAAGAAATATTTTTTATTAATAATAAGAAGAAATATTTTTTTGTTGGGCTCTTTAAATTTTAAATTAAAAGAAGGAAGAAACAATTGAAGAAATATCAAAAGAGAAGGAATATGTGATCGAAAGGAAGAAAAGTTTGTGTCGATTCATTGTGATTCAAGAAGAAATGAAATACCTCTACGATTGAAAATTGAAACTGTTTCTGAAAACTGAAAAAAAAAAAAAAAAATATAAATATATATTGAAGATCAAAAGAAAAAGTTACTATGTATTTATTAACACGAAGAAAATCTACTTGCTTGATTCTAGTGAAATCATGTGCCTATTAAAATTCTAAAAAGAAGAAGAATTTATTGCCTTTTGTTTCTTTAATATCAGAAGAATAATCTAAAATTATTTTTTATATAAATTAAAGAATTTTTAGAAGATAAATCAATTTTTAAATTCTAAAAGGATATATCGATTAATGAAAAATGGACGGAGGTCCTTTCGATGATCCGATCTTCTCTGATTTCGGCGGTCGAGGAGGTTCCGGGGTTCACAGTATTCAAGTGATGCTCGGTCTTCATGGTGGACACCACGGTGGCGATTTAATGCCTACTGGAGGCCATCTTCACAAATTAGATTCTTCGAATAGTCCACCGCCTCATCATCAAACGTCTCATCATCATCTGCAACAACAACAGCAACAACAGAAAGAGCTGAAAGAATTGGAATTGGCTGGAATGTATGCTCCTCTTCCTCAGACGCAGGATGTTACTACTTCGACGTCTACCACTGCGACCCCGACCTCAACGACATTGCAACAGGGCCTTCAGCTTGGAAATGCTTTGAAAAGGAAACCGGAGGATCCAATGAATACTCTTGCTCCAGGTTAGTATTATACATTAAAAAATAGTTTTATAAAATTAGGATCTTCATATTCGTATCGATTAATTAAAAATAATAGCAATTATCAATAGTAGTATATCAATTTGTAAAAATAATAAATGTAAATATATTAATATATTATTACTATATATAACGAAAATAACTAAGATATAAATTAATTTAACATTTTTTTCAATTTTATTATCCATTTCTTTATATATAGTACCTATAATGATACATTTTGATATTTGTTGAATTATAAGCATACGTTTATTAAGATTTAATTTTATTCACAATCTTTTTTATTTTAATTTAAATTTTATTAATATATTTTGTGACTTAAAAAATTATTATATTATATTTTGTATATAAAAAAAATTTATAAGATTCTTTATTAGAAATATTGTAATTTATTTATAATTTGACAAGAATTTATTAGTACATACAATAAAAAGAAAAAATTCAGAACATATATTATATTACTAAATATATTACTAAATAATATTATATTATTTAATATCATATTTAATCATTTTAATTTTGTTTCTGTATAGATAATTTTAAAGAATATTTAATTGTTTTTGACAGAATTTTCTTTAAATTATTATTTTATTATTATTATAATTATTGTTATAATTATAATTATTGTTTTGCAAATATTATTTTCTAACTTTGTTTTCAATTTAATATATTTTTACAGTTAGTAGCGAACCACAACCAGCTAAGAAAGATTCCAAGAAAAAAACCGACAACAATGGAATCAAAAAGAAGAAAACTAGGTATTTATTTATTTTTTTTATTTTCTTTTTTAATTAATTTAAAAAATATTATTTAATCTACTTAAAATTAAGTTTTTTGATCTTTCATTATCTTTTGTAATTTCAAATTAGAAAATGAATATTGTTATTATGCCATAAATTTTAGATTTTTCAATAATAATCACATTCTATTGAATAATAAATAAATTTGAAATTTTAATTGACATATTCTCATTTGTCAAATATTTTATTTTCATTTCGAAAACTAATTATTTCAGAACAACATTTACCGCTTATCAATTGGAAGAATTAGAAAGAGCATTCGAACGTGCTCCATATCCTGATGTTTTTGCACGAGAAGAACTCGCTTTAAAACTTGCGTTATCAGAGTCAAGAGTTCAAGTATGGTTTCAAAACCGGCGTGCAAAATGGCGAAAGAGAGAACCTCCGCGTAAAACTGCTGGTTATGGTATGGCTGCTGGTTCAGCAAGCCCTGGTTTATCAGGTAATTACAATAAGAATGCTAACTTAAAACTTATATTGTTTTTCATTATTTCTTTATTTTTAATATCAAAATTCTTTCTTTCATTTTTAAAAAAACATTAAATTTATTGATTTTTGATTAAATGTTAAAAATCACACACATATATATATCTCAATAGATATATTGATGTAATTAATATTAGTTATATTTCAAATAGATATAAAATTTGCAGAAAAGATTTCTATTATTAAAATTATATTACATATTGTTCAATATCCTGTAATTACTTTCAAAAATATTGATAAAATTACTTTTATTCTTACAAATCTAATGCAAATAATTCGTTCTCATATTTCTATTAGGATCATTTACTTCACTGAACAATACTCTTAATCCATTCGCCTCGCCGACAACAGCGACAGCACCACCGGATGCCTGGGCATATTCTCCAGCTTACGATTTGGCACCGCATCTAAATCTACTTAGCCCGTCTAACTCTCCATACTCAACCTCCTTTGGTGGGCCAAGCAACAACGGATCGGCATACTCGTACGCGACAATGCTTCCACAACACGATGCCTCGTTATTTTCCACACCATCAGGCAATACAATGCGTGTACACCAGGACTACATGAATGCTAGTAACAGTCCACCACCACCTCTAACTCGTAACGACTATCAGACTATGGTAACTACCCACTCACCACCCACTCATCTGACCAATTCCATGTCCGAGGAAGAACATCAACAGAATAAGCAATTGGATTATGTCAGTGGTCTTAGTCCAGCGGATAAATATCAGCACGAACAACCTGATTACACCCAACAACAGCAACAACAACAACAACAACAACAACAACAACAACAACAACAACAACAAGATCAAAAACAAGAATATGGGATGCACTCACCACAAGGACGTCAAGGAATGAAAGAGCAAGTGATGGTGAAGAGCGAACCAACTAGTCAAAACTACGTACAGTTGCCTCCTTTTCTGAACTGACTCGAAACCTCCGGTCTAGATTTGCTCTAGAACAACTGGTGGTTCCGATTTGGAATAAGTCTTCCTTGGCAAAGGAATATTAAGTTCATAATAAGATCATATATGTTTGTTGATTTTTCATCTTTGAATTTCTTTTTTGAGCTGAAATGAAAATAAAATCGAAGGCTTTATTTTAATTAGAGTTATAATTTTTTATTTTAAAAATAAAAAAAGTTTTTTGAAAGTTTTTTTATTTTTATTTATAAATTTTATTTGTATTAATCGTAAATATATCAATTCTCTTTAATACAATTTCATATTGTATTATGTAGATTTAAACAATTAATGAGATTAATTGGAATTATTCTCTTGGAAAATTTAATATTAAGAATATGATAATCATTAATTTGTTTCAATAAGAAAATAATAAAAAAATACGTTATAATAAACAAACGTGTAAAAAAAGAAAATATTTTAGAAAATTAATTGAATAAGAGCATTCCAGTGCCTTAAATGTAGATTTGAGATGTGAGTACTTTTATATTATTTGTCCTTTTTTCAAAATTATTAAATAAAATTAAATAAGAAGTTTATTTACGTATTTTATAATGTATATCAAATATATGCATATCTGTATATACATGTATATAAAAAAATATAAGACATCTGAATTTATAAAATTTTATACAAGAATATTTCAGAAATTTTGAATTCTATTTTTTTTTTATAATGCTTAAAAATAATTGCATTTAAATGCACTTAAAAATTAAAATATGTAATCACTCATTTAACAATGATGTGTCTTAAATAAATAACAATTTATTATAATTTCATACATTAATTTGTTCATTGGAATTGTATGTGAATATAATTTTTAATAAATATTCAAAACAGAAATATTTAAAATATTATAATTTTTTTTTATTTCAATAAAAAATATATATTATTATTATATATATATATATTATATATAAATTTATTATTATTAACAAATATAGAATAAAATAAAGTACATATACATAATCATTAAATATTTCTAAACATATAAACAAATTTTAAAATTTAAGGAAAATTTTAAAGTGCTTAAAAAAATAGTACTTTAACTTATTTTATATAGTTTTTTAGTATTTTATATAATTCATTAATAAAGTTTGATTTTGTAATGTTCAAATTTTGTTTATTAAAATCTTTCATTTTTAAAAATATTTAATTTATTACAATTTACATATTCCATATTTCATATATACAATATATATACAATAAAGTAATAAATATATTCAAAATATTTTAATTAAATAAAAAATATACATATATTTTTATATATTTTTCTATAAATATATTCAAATGTATTTATTATCGTAGTAAATATTCAAGCCATGCTTCTCCATTTAAATCGTTTATTTCATTGTTATCTATATATTCAAATTCATATAAATCCTCAAAAATATTTGGTTTAAAAACTGATACGTCATTTAGCCAAATTCCATCTCCACTAAAATAATATTTTTTTTCTAATTCGTATAAGCATAATGATAAGTAATGAGAATTATATTCCTCTTGTGGATATTTTTTATACAACAAATTCAATGTGCAAATAATCTTCGATCTAAAAAAATAATATTGAATGTTATATAAATGTTCTATATGAATTTTTATGTTTATTTTGATGCTTAGAATTGATTTTCCGAAAATATCTTATGAATATATTAATATTCCGCATAATATAGTATATTATATTTATATTATATTAAATAAATATATTTTATTATTTTTAAGCAAACATCTATTTACTTTGGATACAATATGATATGAATATTTTGACATATATTTTCTATTGAATAATATTTCTTTAAATATTGTAGTGATTTAGTAATTATCAACAAGGATACATATTTCCAATAAGGATGTTTTTGAATTATAGATAATAAATCAACATCTTTTCCCAATTCTTTATGCAAAATGAATAATAAATACTTTTTTCTAGATCTCAAATGATATTCTCCTTCTATGAATCTAAAAGATAAATTATTATCAAAAGATTTGAATGTATTACTCTGCAATTATTAATGAATTTTATTTTCTATTTGATCAAAAATAAATACATGTATATATGTATATATACCTGAAAAAAATTTCCCTTGATGATAAATATATTTGAATACTTGCATTATCTATACAATTTAAATATTTCATATAATATAAACGCTTCTTGACTAATTTGTAATAATAAATTAATTGTAAGATTCGTGGATGTTTCAACCATACAGTTAATTCTACATTATTTTCAAAATCTTTATATCTTTCTAGAAATTTTTCTTTTTTCACTGATAAACATTTTAAACAAATATAAGAAAACTGGTATGATATATCTAATGTTTTATAAAGCTCTAATAATTCTTTCACTTCATTTAAATTATGCAAGAGAATACGAGGATACATATTTATTAAATCAAATAAATTTTTTTCTTTTATTTTAATATATTTAAATTCAGTTAGCATTCTCTCAACATTATCCACATCTATATTTAAGAGATATGAATTTTTTATTATCTGCAAGATATATATTATATCATATTATATTCTTAAAATTTTTCTTTAAAAATTTTTTGTAAATATTTATACTTACAAATTCTTCATTAAAATTACACCTATATTTCAATATATATATTAATTTGGACATTTCTGTAAAACTTCGATATTTCATCCTATATTTTTTAAAAAATGATTCATTGTATAATTTTAAATAAAATGTTTTATAATATAACATACATATTTGATAATAATTGCCTATTTTCATATGATTTTCAAGTTTTATTAAATCTGTAGTAACATCAATTTTTATACCTGCATTAGAAAATATATTTTTTATAATATTTTCTGTAGCAGGTATATTATTTATTTTTTTAAATGTTTTTACTTTTTTTCTCATTAATGCTGGAAATCTAAAATATAAAATAACCATAATTAATAATAACATAAATTATAAATTACAATTTATAATTATAAAGAAATTATTTGAATAAAATTTGAATTTATTATGAATATAATATATTTAAAATGTAACATACCGGTAAATATCAACTAGTTCTATAGAATTTATACCTAATTCCTTAAGTACAAAAATTCTATTTTTCATAATTACAGGTTTAAGTGTCAAGCATTTTATTAAATAATCAATTTTTTCTATCTTTATATTCATATGCTAATAAAAGAAAAAAGGAAATAAGAAATTATGAGTGATATAATTAATATAATCCAATATTATTTAAATATATACATACCTTTATGGTATTACAATTTTGAATAACTTTTTGCATTGATATTTTATTAATAGAATTATTTTCTCCAATTTTATGATTTTTAATAACATTATGGTCAAGTTTTAAATGTGTTGTTAATATGTCATGAAGTTTTTCTTGTGTTGAAAAAGATGAAACTAATTTTTTAAAATGTATCATAACAAATTTTCCTATAAATTTTTGTTTAAACATTGTATTTACATCGATTTACAGATAAAAGATATATATTTTTTTTATATAGATAAGATATATTTACAATAAAAGAACTTATATGTTTGAAATAAGGTTATCATACTATATTATACATGAAACTAATTTTTTAAATGTTATGTATCATGACAAATTTTCCTATAAATTTCTATTTAAACATTGTATTTACATCGATTTACAGATAAAAGATATATATTTTTTTATATAGATAAGATATATTTACAATAAAAGAACTTATATGTTTGAAATAAGGTTATCATACTATATTATACATGAAACTAATTTTTTAAATGTTATGTATCATGACAAATTTTCCTATAAATTTCTGTTTAAACATTGTATTTACATCGATTTACAGATAAAAGATATATATTTTTTTTATACAGATAAGATATATTTAAAATAAAAAAACTTATATGTTTGAAATAAAGTTATCATATTAAATAATAAAACTATTTTACAAATAACAAAACTATTTTTAAATAATAAAACTTAAATAATAAAACTATTTTTAATCATTTAAATATGAAATAAAATTAAAGTTTATTTATTTATTATATTTTAGATATTATTATTTTATGCATTAAAAAGAAAAAAAATTATATTTTGTGACAAAATTTTTTTTTATATTTAAAATATAAATACAGATTATTATAAAATCCATAAATAAAATATATCGAGATAAAATATTTTATAAGATTTTTCAGATCCATATTTTCAACATAAATATCATAAATAGGATATATGTATTATATATCATTAATTAATTGATTCTTTTTAGCGGGAAAATTTAATTTTAAATAATATTCTAATTAATAAATACGTATATACAAATAATGTATTATTGCAAATCAAATTTTAATTGGATAGATTAAAATAATTTAACTTTAAATTTATAATAATTTATTTATATATATTTGTAATTTATTCAAAATTAGTGATATTTTTATTTATTTATCAAAGTAATCAAAGTAGACAAATTATTAATTGTTTTATAAAATTTGCTTTTAAAATATTTCAAAATTGATGGAAAAAATAATTTAATATACATTTAAAATAATAAAATTGTGAAATAAAATTTTTTATAGGAAATTGTAATATGATATATAATTATCGTTTTTTTAGATTTATTTGAAATGAAATTTTTCGTCTTTACTACTTCCGTTCAGCACATAGGAAACGTAGTTTCCACCATTTTAACTTTCTTTCGCAAAAAGGACTTCTAGACTCCATCATGAGGTATGAACTATTCAAAAATTTTTAATTACATAAATACATAGATTCAAATCTAATTTGTATTTATGATATTATTAAAAGAATATATATTGACATATTGTTGAATTTAATACATCATATTTTACATATTTAATATTTGATAATTTGTTGATAATTGACCACATGGTTTTATGATTGTTTTTAAAAACAATTTAATTTGAATTAAATCATAATTAAATTTAAATTATTTTTTTACACAAATATGATTAAAATAATATTTTAAGATAATATTGAATATCAATATGTTATTTATCATAACATAACCTCAATATATGTTTCAGTTCCTTAAAATTACAAAAGAGGCTTGCAGCTTCTGTTATGCGATGTGGTAAAAAAAAAGTTTGGTTAGATCCAAATGAAATCAACGAAATTGCAAATACAAACTCACGTATGATATTATAAAATTAATATTATAAAATTATATAAATAATATAAAATTTAAAAATTAAATTTTAACATCCGTTTTATACACGTTTAATATTATTAAAATATTAGTTTTAATATCTTTGTTTTTAAGGTCAAAGTATTAGAAAGTTAATTAAAGATGGTCTTATTATTAAGAAACCCGTTGCTGTCCACTCTAGAGCTCGAGTTCGTAAAAATACTGAAGCTAGACGTAAAGGACGTCATTGTGGTTTTGGTAAAAGAAAAGGTACAGCAAATGCTCGTACACCGCAAAAGGTAAAAATTTATAATTATTGCTTTAATAATTTAACATATTTTAATTATTTCTTCTTTAAGAAGAAATAATTTATGTGTAAAAAATTTATGTGTAAATTATAATGTATTTAATATGAAATATATTTTTTTATAGGATTTATGGATTCAAAGAATGCGAGTTCTCCGTAGACTGTTAAAAAAATATCGCGAAACAAAAAAGATTGACAGACATTTATATCATTCCCTATATATGAAAGCTAAGGGTAATGTATTTAAGAATAAAAGAGTTTTAATGGAATTCATTCATAAAAAGAAGGCTGAAAAAGCGAGAGCCGAGATGCTTTCAGATCAAGCTGAGGCGCGTCGTACTAAAGTTAGAGAAGCGCGTAAACGTAGAGCAGAGCGAATTGCTACGAAAAAACAAGAATTGTTACAATCTTATCAACGAGAAGATGAAGCTGCAGCAGCGCAAAAAAAATGATCTAACAATTTTAGAAATTATTATATAAATAAAATCTAAAAAAAACATTAATATTTTTATTCAATCCATTTGTCTTTTTCAATTTTCATTTAAATATAATATACGCATATAAAATATGCATTAATATTTTTGTATATAATATTTTTTAATTATATATTATATATAATATATATATTTAATTAAATATATCAATTATATATATATTTTTTATATAATTATATATAAATATATATATATTATAATAAATATTTCATAATATAATTAAAGTAAAGTTAATTTGAATATTTAACAATATATTACAATATATTTACAATAATTAATTTAATTAATTTTTTCTTTATAATACTTAACAATATTATTTTCTCTGAAATAAAATAAACTAAAAATTTATTTTTAAAATTAGTATAAAATTATATCCACAGATGGAAACACTATTATGTACTGAAGTAAAATATGGCGAAACTGTCGAGTATATGGTAGAAATTGTCTAAAAGTAAAAGAATTTTATTTCCCAATAACGCACATTCTTAATAAATACATATACAGAATAAAAAAATAAAAGGTATTTGTTTCAAATACGAGATATTTCAATGAAAAATTATTTTGTTATGACGTTATTGAAAATAAAACAATAGGTTAGTGAAATGAATTTAATATATGTAAAATAATACAATTTTGAAATAAAAATATTGTATGTATTAATATATAATTTACCAAATTTATTACATATATATTTATAAAATAAAGATATAAATAAATTTATATATTTATAAAATAATTTATATGTTTTGAGAATAAGATTATGAAATGTTAAATATTATTTCGTAATATGCTTTGTGAAATTTGAATAGCATAATAAATCAATATGTCTGACTAAAAAGTAAGTTTAATTTCTTGATGTAAAATTAAATTAAATGAAATTTGATATGAATAAAAAATACTATTTATTTTTCAATTTAATATTTACAAATTAAATTGTGTACATGCCAGAGATATCAATGTTGTATATATTATATAAAATTTATTTATATATTAGCTTCAAAAACATGTAAAGTATTTGATATGTTTTAATATATCAAAATGAAATTATATTTCAATTATAATTTTTTTTATTATATATATAATAATTATTTTTGTGTCGAAATAAATATTTTCAATTAAATTACTATTAAAATTAAAATTATATATTAATGAATCGTTTATGAATAAATATATGCATTTATGTATGTAATATAATTTTTTAAAATAAATTTTTAATTTCTTAAAATTGATTTTTTTAGCTGAATGTTTCTTATGATTAAGAAAAAATACAGAAATCATGAAACAAGAGGAACATGTCTGTAAATATATGTAATTAATAATTTATTATTTCTTTTCTTATGATTATTTTCTTATATAATATATTAATATATTAAAAATATTAGAAATTAAAAATTAAATTAAAATTAAAATTAAATTAAATTGAAATATTATTAAATGTATAATATTATGAATTTATATAATTTATTTATAGAAATTTCTGAATTGAAAAAACGAACGATTGCATCAAGAACAATGACCAACAAAAAGGGAAATATTTCTGAAAAATCACGGGAGGAAATAAAAGCAGAACGTGAAGCAAAGAAAGCAGCTAAAGCACATGCTAAAGCAAAAGCCAAATCTAGTAAAATATTAGATAAAGATGTTTCAAATGATAAATCTGCTTCTCTGAATAATATTAAGAATAAAAACAGCAATGAGACATTAAAAACTACAACCAATGAAAATATTGAATCTGCTGAAGTATTAGTAGTCAATAAAATTACAAATATATGTGAAAAAAGTTCAATATCAGAAACAAGTAATGAAGGAAAGAGCAAAGCAGAATTACGTGCTGAAAGAAGAGCAAAGCAAGAAGCACAAAGAGCAGCTAAACAACAAATTTTATTAGAAAAAAATAAAATTAAAAGTAAAGAGCAGAATAATAATGATAAATCTCTAATAACAGAAACAGTTAAAAAAGTAATAATGCCTATAAAAACAATTCAAAAATGTAATACACATGAAATAAATCTTTTCAAACATCTATATCACGAAAGAAAACAGGCTATTGTAAATGTTCCTTTTGTCAATTCAAATATACATCCAACAATAATTAGATTAGGTACACAATATGCAAACAAAATAATTGTTGGTAGCAATGCAAGATGTGTTGCACTTTTAGCTGCTGTTAAGCAACTTATTTATGATTTTGAAAGACCACCGCAAGCTGATTTTATTAGAAGTCTTGAAGCAAATTTACAAGAATCTGTAGCCTACTTACATTATTGTAGGCCATTAGCTGTGTCAATGCAAAATGCAATGAGACATTTGAAATGGCAAATGACACAGTTTCCTTCTTCATTGTCTGATGTAAATGTAAGTTACTTTTTTTAAACTTTAGATATATTTATATGATTTTTAAAATAATTTATTTTTAAAATAAAATTAAATGAAAACTATAAGAAAAAAAAGAAAACTATAAATTTTAGGCAAAAAATAAATTAAGTACTGCAATAGATACTTATATTCGAGAACAAATAGAGCTAGCTGATAAGGCAATATCAATAACTATTCAAACTAAAATATCTAATGGAGATATTATTTTAACTTATGCTTAGTGAGTAAAGTTTTTTATTATTTCAAAATTATTTTAAAATTATTTTCACATTTTTTACATATTTTCTATATTTATAATAAAATTTGATTGTTTTTAGTTCATCTTTAATACATAAAATATTGTTAGATGCACATACTGCAGGTAAACAATTTCGTGTTATTGTTGTGGATGGAAGACCGTGGCTGGAAGGAAAGGAACAACTTAGACGTTTATCAAGACATGGGATTGAATGTTCTTATATTTTAATTAATGCTTTAAGTTATGTAATGCCTGAAGTAAGTAAATGATAATTTTATTTTTATTAAGATTAAATTTTTATTAAGATTATTGATAATAATAATTATTAAGGTAAGCAAAGTATTCCTTGGTGCACATGCAATTCTAGCAAATGGTGCAGTAATGTCAAGAGTTGGAACTGCTCAAGTTGCCTTGATGGCAAGAGCTTTTAATATTCCAGTTTTAGTAGCTTGTGAGACTCACAAATCTTGTGAACGTGTACAAACAGATTCTATTGTCTATAACGAATTAGGTAAGTAAAACTTTATATTTATTCTTCTATTTATTGATTTACTATTTAATTTTATAATAATATTATTTATTTATATTTTTTTATTTCTTTCTATCTTATTTATAGGAAATGCAGATGAGCTTGCACAAGATTATAAAAACGGTATGCAAAAATCATTATTAACGAAGTGGAAAACAAAAAAATCATTAAATCTTTTAAATATCATGTACGATGTTACACCAGCCGATTTAGTAACGGCAGTTGTTACAGAATTAGCTATTTTACCATGCACTAGTGTTCCTGTGATTTTACGTATTAAACCATCAGAGATTTAAATTTCATTAAAAATTATTTTTGTTGTTTTAATATTTGATATAGCATTCAAAAAACAGTATAAAACATCAATCATTATGTTCTTTATTTTGATATATGCAAATTAATTTTAAATAAAGTTAAATTATACATAAAAAAGAAGAATATATTCATCATAACTTCTTTTTTTTACATGTCTTTAAAAATATATTTTATGTACAATTGTATATTATGTTGTACTTTAAAATAAATTTTTAAAATATAAATTAAAAATTTATATTTTTTTCATATTTTTATAATATATTTTTATAATATATATACATAATATATATAATATAATATATATAATATTATTTATAAATAAGATATTTTAATTAAAGTTTTCAAATTGAAATTAAAGAAAAGAATTGATACTGAAACGTGAAATTTTTTTAAATATTTAAATGTTTAAAATAGAAAAAATTAAATAAGAAATAATATAATAATAACGAATAATTAATATGAATATAATATATTTCACAAAGTTACAAAATAAAATGATATGCAATATTTTTTTTATTGATTTTGACAATCGTGCAATTGATCATTTTTGAATCATATATGTTATTGATTCAATATAGAAAACAATTGAAGTATTAATAATGATTGGAATTAAAATTTAATTTAAAATTATATAAATTGTAAATAAATAAATAAATTATAAATCAAAACATTTTATGACAAAGTATAGCAATCTATATTTCTGGATTTGATCATTTTCTATCTTATATAGTCGATTTATAATTTAAGTGATTGATACTGATTCACTTTCCTGAAAAACTGTTCTTAATTTTTTTCAGTTTTACGTTCTTAATACATAATAAAATATAAATAAATTTTTATTTTTAAAGTTATTAATTATTATATAATTAGCTATTAAGCAATTGATTATTAAAAACTTGAGTTTTTCTCTTAAATAATTTAAGAGAATTTAAGAGTTTAAATAATCATTTTTTAATACAAAAAATTACAATATCATTTGATATTTTGTAAATAAAAATCTGAAAAAATATTATTATATGTATATGTATTTAAAATTTATTTTATAATTTATTAAGTATTAGATTAAAACTTTATTTAAAAATTAATATCAAATCCAATTATTTCTTAATTGAATCTTTTCTTTTTCTCAAATTTATTTTACAATTTTATATGAATGAAATTTAGAAATAATAGAGAAATAATATAATAGAAATAAGAAAAATATATTACACATATATTTTTTTTATTTTTTAAATATATTATAAATTAAATTTTTTAAACAATAAATTTTGATGTAAATTGTAATCTAAGATCGATTTAATTTTTTTAATGTTTTCTTCATTTTTTCTCTCTTTCACTTTTTTATTTCTTTTCTCTTATTTGTTTTTTTGGTATTCATTTTTTCAACTCTCATTTTTTGTAGTTAGAAGTATTTCTTCAATTGAATAAAAAATTTCAATTTTATATTATTTCGTTTTGAATAAGATAGGCATGTTTTTGATAAAGATATTGTTATTAAACTATATGATTTTAGATTTTAATTTTAATATTAAGATTTAAATTAAAATATTTTCTAATTATCGTTGGAGGACACTAAACAATAATAAAATTGATAAACATGTAATTTAGTTTTTTATTTTTTATTATAAATAATATATGGGAGATTTTTTAAAATATATATGTGATATAAAATTAATAAATACGAATAATATAAAAGATTTATTAAAGATCTATTCTATTTTATTTTATATAATTTATATAATATTTAATAATATTTAATAATATATTTATATAATTCTATTCTATTTTATATAATTTTTTTATTTAGTTTTTAACTTCTTCTTTAGTTTTAAATTCTTTCATCATGTTCAATATTTTCAATATTTTTTAATTTAAGTACATTTTATTTTAAATTTCAGATTTATATTTCAGTCTTAATTTAAATAATTTTTATATTATATTTTTATATAAATAAATTAATTATAATAATTTATTCCTATATTTTTAATCAAGGTATATTCTTGTAAGACTTATATACATATAAAAATTTATAGTTGAAGTATATGTTATATAGTTATTCACTTCAATTTTTATATAATATAGTAAATACAGAATCGTACTGTTCCAGCCAATCAGAAAACTACTAGTTTAACAATGAAATGAATCAGTACATATTATAATATTCATATTATTGAAGTTAAAAATCAATGATAAATTGCGTTTTATTGACAGAGATTACATTACAGAGATTGTATAATACAAATATTCTTGCATTCTTTTATTTTTTTTATTTATCTATTTGATTATTTGTTATCACTAATTATATTATATTATGATTATATTATGAATTTTTAAAATAGGATTTGAGTTTATTTTAGGATTTGAGGTTATTTTATTTTATTCTTATATATTTTATATATTTATCGTAAAAATTTGATTTTTTCATGTAGACGAATAATTGAAATTTAGAAAAAAAATTTTTAATGTATGCTACAATAATAAAAAATTATATTATTAACAAAACATGAAATAACATATATAATAAAATATGAAATATGAAATTTCGTTAATAAAACAAAATATATCAACTATGAAGTTTACGAAATGACGGATAGATGGCATTATATCGCATCATGTTTTTAAATACGAATTTCTTCTCAATTTCATCTCTATTATTTGTACTGTTCGCTGATAAAAAGTTCTGTGGAAAAGATGGAAGTCTGATTGTTTATCTTCATTAATTTATATATTCATAATAATATCATGCATATTGACTGATAGTGTCAAATCTATAAATTTATAATAATAAAATCATGTAATATCATGTATTTTCGAAGAAGAGCATTTTTATCATTTCTGTGTTGACTTTCATCAACCATCAATAATCTTGATGACGCCATCAATACGTTTAAGCATATGTAGTGACTTTCCTGGTACTATATCAGGGGAAAATGGCGAATATATTTAAGTGTAGTAGGGATTTGTATTATTTAGTGAATTTCGCTAAACGTTTTATGTTTAGTCGTAACTTGATATTGAACGCGACAAACATATAAGTGGACATATTTTATTTTTAAATTAAACAAAAATTATTGAATTATAACATTTAATTTTGATTTGACATTTTATTTATATAGACAACGTGCAATAACTTGTGTATTATACATAGCAAAAAATGACAGTGAATAAGGATCTAGAATATGAACGAAACAAATGTACATTTCAACCTATTGAATTAACGTATTTCTTCGATGGCAGTCCAGAGAAAACAATAGAACGTCGTGAACGAGGTACAATTCAAATTTTTTCATATGCATGAAGTTAAAAATTAAAATGCAAATTTTAATTTTTAATTGAAACTTCTTAAAGATTTTCGTTAAAAAATAATCCAAATTATTTATATATAAATAACAATAAATTATATAACAATAAAAAAATATATAAACAATATATTATATAAATAACAATAAATTAATAAGTTTTATTATTTCTTTAAAATTTTAATTTTAATTATTTGACGAGATGAAATAGATAATATATATAAATATAAATAGTTTGGGAATAGAATTAAAAAATATTTGAAAGTATAATCATCACGTTTTCTGTTTATATTTAAATTTATATTTAATTGATTAATAAATAATTGAAAAATGTAATTTTCATTGAGTTATATAATTTTCTTTTATTAATTGAATTATATATATTATATATATTATATTATAAATTAAATAC